GCTGGCGTTCTCGACACTCATGACCCAAGACATGGCATATGGCGAGTCATAGCTGAATGCGTTGCTCACGATTTCTCTCGTGGAAATGATCCAGTCTCGCAACTCGTGCGGCGCAGGCTCTTTCTCAAGCTCTATGTTGGCGCACTTGTTCGCCTCAGATGGCAACGAAGTTAAGGGCGGCCGAGTGGCCTGCCCAAAAACATGGGGAGGTAGAACGCCGTCTCTGCCAATGGATATGGTACAAAGGGAGCAGCTCCCAGATGATGGTGGGCAGCATGCGGAACACAAAGAAGTGCGGCATAATGAACAAGTTTGGAAGCATGGAGGTGTCCCGGGGATGCTGGACTTGACATTGATGTTGCGTCGAGGGCAGACTCTTTCTTCAGCAGAAGATCGGCGGAGGTCGGGAGCCCCAATACCGCCGACGCCACCGACGCCATGTACACCCTTACCAAGTCCTGGTGGAAGGGCTTAACCAGCTGGTCCGCCAGAGTTATCTTGCACTCCGTGATGAGGCTGTGGATTCTGCTGATTTGTCACAGCAGTGTCAGGCCCGTACCTTCCACGAATGATTCCCTGAGACGTTCCATGCTCGACCTGACCAGTGAGAATTCCCCCCGTAGGGGAACATCCCGGCGTGGGAACAGAAGCCGGAGTTCCCTCGTTGCGGCTCAGGACTCCGATGTGACGGATCCCCACGTGATGGCCCGGACCCAGGATCAGGAGCAGTACCATCCCGCGGATTATGGTCAGGAATGCCACCAGGTCCTCCAGGCCCCGCACTGGGACCACGATGCTTGGTTTTCCCATCGGGGTCAGCTCTCAGGCAGCCGAGGCAAATAGGTCGAACATCCGACCCAAAACGGCGCACATCGTCGGGTGAAGCGATGTGTTGATCGCAGTATTCATCCTTGCATATGAGACACGTCACAAGTCCGTGTCTCCCTCCCCTTCCTCTGCATGCACGGCATCTGGGAAACTGATCGCTACATTTGAAACATGAGTTACAGTCATGATCAAAGCAGTCTTCACAGACTGACTTGCCACAGCTTCGGCATGGATAGCGAGGTTCCCGATGCTGTGGATGCCCAGGCTCCTCATGAGCACATCTTGCCCGGTTATCAGGGGCAGCACCAGCAGCCCGAGCAGCAGCCCTCGTTCTAGAGGGATCCCTGCCAAAGACGGGGGCTGATGGTGACGGTGGAGGTGGCCCTGAAGGAGGAGGAGGTGGAGGTGGTCTCGCCGAGCTGACGATGCGAGCATCGCGAGGAGGAGAACCTCTAGGAGCTTTTCCCTGGGTTAAGGGATCCGTGTCTCCAGATTTCTCCCAGGGTACCGTCTCGGCGACCGAAACAGCGCCAGCACTTGAAGATGCGCAGACAGCAGGAGGTTGTTCCCTCAATTCAACGATCTGCATGTTGATCTCATTGACCCTCAACACAAGTTTCATAAACTGCTCTTGCGTGTCCCTCGGATAAGGGACAAGGCTTTTATCATGAAGGTCCTTGACACATCTAGCAATACGGGACAATTGGAGCTTGAACTCTTCCTGTTTCCGTGAGTTCTCGTTAAGGGCTCCGGACATCTTATCACTGAACTGCTTCAGGTCGGTCGCAGGAACAAGGTGCTGGATGTACGTCTCGACGTTCCCACGGATGGTTCTTTCCCTTGAGATGGTTCCCTCAATGCCAATGACACTGCGAGAGTTCGCCTCAACCTCGTCCTTGATCCTCCGAACTTCAGCCTCAAGGGCCCCGATCTCGGAGAACCTAAGGAGCTGGACCTTGACGTTCTCAAGTGACTCGGCCTGCTCGCGAAGTTCAGCGGCAGATATGATGACCGAGTTGGACCTCTCATCATACATCTTGAGGCGCTCATTTATCTCCTTTTCGCTTCGGGCGACCCACTCGTGGAAATCACGGAACTTGGCCTCGTGCTTTGAGAGCGTTCCGGCGACGGCAGAGAAGGATGACCCAACCTTCTTCTCGAAAGTGTCAACACGGTTATTGATCTTCTTGATTTCACCGACGCAAACGTTGATATCATCCCTGCATGAACGAATCTCAGTTCTGCACCCTTGGATTTCGGCCTTGCATCCCTTTACCTCGTTGTGAATCGCGAGAAGCAGTCGCTGAAGCTCAGACGCAACCGGACGGCCGTCACTTGTGGATGCAGACGGGGCAGGACGACTATCAGCGTCATAAGCTCCACGCCTATCCTCATCCCTGTCGGGAGTGCAGCCCGGAGTTCCAATTTGAAAGAATGTAGGGATGAGGGAGTTGTTGGCCGGTTGATTTGATGGAAGCCCCCCGTTTCGAGGGGCAACGGTGCCAAGTCCAGGTCTCCGGTTCCTGGGCGTAGTTTTGATCCCGTCATCAGTCTCCTTCTCAGACATCGGAGCATTGGAGCTGAGCCCAGATCCCGCGGAGTGGATAGGAACGTCAACAGGGTCGTGATGAGCGGGGGGATTAGATCGCAATCGGAGGGCAGCTTCATGTCTCTCTGGTGACTCAGAGCTTCTCTTTGTGGCTCGCGAGTCAGTGCCGGTTTGTCCCGACATATTACCGAACGATGACGATCCACGATGTTGAGCTTGATCTGGATCAGGTTGAGTGAGATCAAGCCGTTGAGCAACGTCATCATTGAATGGCTTAGGGGAAAGCACTTTGGCAACGCGGCTCGGCGGGAGCGACGTCGTTCGTCTCTCTGGTGTGACCCCGGCCTCATCGATTACATCGAGGATCCCAGGGATGGTTTCATCATCTTAATTTGCTCTCCTGGGTGGCTGATGGAAGGGGATGTCGAGAAGGTCGAAGGGAGTAGACCCAATACCAGGTGTATCCTGCTCGGATCCATCGCTGGTACGGTGGCTGGACTGCTCTTCGAGGTCGATGACGTCGGGCGTGGACTCTTTCCGAGCCCGATGCCGATTGAAGGCCGCGAAGAGACCGGCATGGCTTCTCGATGAAGTGGAGGAAGGATTTGGGCCCGCTGTTTCGCGGCCCGTGTCCGATCGATGAGTACCTGGTGCTTGATCTGGTGGTTTTGAGCCCGCGTTATAGCGGTTCGCGTCCCGGTCTTGAGTACCTGAGGAGAGCGGTGGATTTGGACCAGCGTTGTAGCGGTCCGCATCCCGGTCGCGGGTACCTGACAAGTGAGATGATACAGCGTCAGGGATGAAGTTCATATCCGCCGGACTGAGGTGATCGTGAACGATGTCAACATCAGATGAACCTGAGACAGGAGGAGGGCCAGCTATTTGCGGCCAATCCTCAATCGCCCGTTCGCCCGCCTCGGGTTGGGCCGGACCTGCAACTTGAGAGGGGGAGAAATCTTCAATGGGGTCATTTTCTCCACCACGGGAAAAACCCTGAATAGGCTCATGCGTAGGCAGGGCGTCGAAAGATCTGTCAATTCGGGAAGGTTGAGATCTCCAATCAGCATCAAAAAGGGATTGAATATCCAGATTCCCAACCGAGATGGGGACACCCGAATCGAAGTCGAGTCGACCGAAATCAGGCGACGTGGCCTGCGATCCACTCCCGAGGAGCTGGTCAAACTGATCCCATGTAAGGGACCATGATTGAGCCGGCTCCGGATGAGCAGCAGGATGGGCAGCCTGGTCTTCGATCTGGAGCGCAACGAATGGAACAGTAGGCGAAATCGACGAGGGCACCTGATTTGGAGGAACCACAGCCTCTTCTAGAGGGGGTCCGTCCTCGATCTGGAGCACTGCCGCCGGGATAGGGGCCTCCGCATCCTCATCAAACACGACCTGAGAAAGGATCCAATCGTCCGTGATCACCCCGGGATTGGGCTCTGCGCCCACCATCGGGGGGAGGGGCCACAGCCGGCTGTCTAAGCCGGGAGCAGCATGCGCGGCGTTGCCGCGAAGGTCGTTGGCTTCGTCGTCCACGAAGCCTAGCCCACGATGTGAGGCTCCAGGGGACGCCATTGTACGTACAAGTAGGCGAAGGAGCAGGTAGCGGGTCACGTCCCGCAACCGGATCACCAGCCCCAGCTTCTAGCTGGTACGGCTGATAACCTGCGGTTTTGGGCGAACACGAAGTAGCCCAGGGAAGCAAATGAGCACAAAGTAGATCACGATGTACCCAAAGCACCCGGAAACACAACTCGGGTGAAGCTGTGGATGATGACCGGGTTGAGGAAGTGACGATTGACAAAGGAGAAGTATGGGGATGATTGAAATCAAGTTGAAGAGGATTAAGTTCAATACCAAGCCCAAGTAGAACAGCGCGACCCACCGAGCACCTCCTACACCCAGCCGCCCGCGGCCCCGACCCTTTTCGGCTCGAGGACGAAGAAAGCTGCCAGTGAATGGCGCACGAGCGTGAGTCCTATCCCCACTGGACGGGAGGTAAAAACTTGAGCCAAACGGCCATTCGGCCGATTCGCTTATGAAGAAACAACACGTGAACGAAACACAGATTCAAACAGCCCGGCGGACTTCTCGGGCTTGAAAGGGTCACCGCGGGTGAAACAAGAAGACTGCCGTGTTTGCCACGGGCTTTGTGCCAACGGAAAGGCGTCCAGCTTCCCACTGAGCCATGTTGCAAGGTTTCCCACAGCCCCTTTTAGAGGTTTAAACGTTTAAAGGGATGGAGGTAGTGGTTTAGGCTAGTAGTGGAAACTTCTTAGATGGTTCCTCCCTGGGTCAGGCCTGGCTGTAAGGCGGAGCAGACAGCACTTCCACGCTCAATGGCATTCTGGCGATCTGGGGCAGCGAACGGACCGTGGCTTTGAGCCAAAAGCACAAACGTTCAATCAAATAAACGGGCCAGTGTCTAACAAGCTCAACAAGGGTGTCTTCGAACATATCCGGAAATGTTGTTCCTTTTGCCCTTCTTTAAGCCAAGCTGAAAGGGTGGACGATGCCTCCGTGCTCCCTATTGCACCACTGGCGAGGTGGCAAAGTGTCCACTACTGCTTGTTATTTTTGCTTGCGAAACCCCCAGTGTCCCTCCCAAATCGAACATCTCCTCGTCTCTGAACTGAAGCGCTGCCATGCCCCACAGAGCTATGGACCTTGGGTGGCTGCATGTTAGACAGCGCGATTGCTTGGGGCGTGGCCGTTAAAGCCGAGGAGCAACTCTTTCATCTTCAGCTCTCCCAAGGCCACTCCGATCTGCGAGGCCCGGTGCAATCGTTGGCTTCCGCGCATTTAAGGGAGGCCTGCATTCCAATCCAACAAAACTGCCCGTCCTCTTCTCGAATCTTCTCCAGGGCGCCTGACACACCGCGCCCGAAGAACCCAAAGTGTTTGGCAGCCGAACCACCACCAAGGCCCTTCAAGGCTTGCAAAACCCACTGCGAAGCTGCAAGCTGGCAGTCAAAATCCAGCGACTGGCTTGTACTCAACCCCTTAAAGTCCTATGGGCCCGCCTCGTGTGTCAGTGCCCGTGGGATCTATCCAGCCCAGTGACCACAGGCAGCCAGAAATCTGCGAGGGTGTCCTGCAACGCGAACCCCATGGAGTCCACTTTGGCAAGTCTGCACACGGCGCCTCCCAAAGACACAAAGACGCACAAAAACACACACATAAACAAACATTGCGCACTGCTCATGCATCAGTTGCTTGAGTCTAAGTACAGATCTGAATCCTGAAGTCGCATGCTCAAGCAGCATGCTGGTGGACACGATGAACGACAAACAAGCTTCAAACTGACCCAAGTACGACCAAACGGGAAGCCCTTGCTTTGGGGAATTGCACCCACGATGAATCCAGCAGGTTGGTCCGCAACAAAGGCCCGCGCAAATATCAGGGTTCCCTATATACACACCAAAAATAAAGTCACCTTAAACTGGCCCAAAAGGTGATCCTTAAACCAACCCAAACGGGAAATATAGGGAACCCTGAATATGCCCCTCCATGCAACACTTGAAGCGGTCATGTGCTGCGCCGTCATCTCCAAGGACTCACTGAGCAAGGGCAACAACTCCCTCACGCGCGCGTGCACGCAAGTCTCCTGGCCGCATGGGAAGAGCTCGCGCCATCAAGGGTCACTTGTGGGAAATTTAGGTGCCCCGCATCCGAAATATGGCTGTGGCTCAAACAAGTGGTACCATTTTCTAGGCCACTTGGATGGAATAAAAGACCAAATCCTGCATAACCCCAGCTCTTTAATTTTGAGCCACACTCATACGAACCATTGACTGGCCATAGGGTGGAACCTCCTGAAACTGCGAGGACAGCTGGACGCAAGGAGCCTGCAGCATGGCAACGGAGTAGAGCATGGAATACCTCGGTTGACTCCACACCTTTACGGCACCCTGTTTGGTGCCAGTGCCCCTCAGAACCGTGCTGAAAATGGGCCGTCTGCGCAGGCGCAGCTCAGCCGGCCGCTGCTTGGCACTTTCAATCAACCTTCTTGGAAGTTAAACACATCTAGCGCCTGGAATTATGCTCGAGTGCATCAAAGACCTTGATTCCTTCTGCGCAATTAACACTATATATGGCTGACACAGCCCTTTCGCGGTTTATGTTCTCGATATTTTCTCCATGAATCATGAATATCTCAACCATGTTGTGGGAATCAATGCCTGTCGCTTTTTCGCATGCCCTTGCAGTGCTCACCCAGCAAATCCTGCAAGTGCTTCCCCTCTCGGAATCGGCGAAGGCTGGGTCTACCCCACCCCCGAGAGCCTAACCATCAGAAAAACCAACCCTACGCCTCGCTATGTTGACTTTAAAATCAATCTCCAGGTCTCAAAAAATCCCCTTTCGAAGCAGGAGACTTCGCCACACGCAACGCGAGTCCATCCCCGCTGAGGCTCCCGCGTGTTGTGAGCCCTCAGCTGCTGAGGCTCCCGCGTGTTGTGAGCCCTCAGCTCCTTCGGGTCACGGCGCAGGAGCTCTGCCACCAGCGGCTCTGCAAGGGCCTGCCCGGTGGCACAAGGAACGTGTACAGCGAGTAAGGGAACACCCCTCCCCCCCCCCTTTTTGCATCAATTGACGTCATTCAATTACCATGATTGTGCAGTTCAGTATGGTGTGAAACTACCAAGTCCAACAACTAAGTGAATTTCAAGGGAAAGGGTAAACTGAACGCTGGCACTGTTTGGCAGTTGAACCAGCGCTGCCACTCTCGCTAGCCTGCTTTACACAAGTCCTCTAATCATCCGTCCCCCAGCAGCTTTGCAAACCTGAAATGTTGAAATGGCACGTCCAAGGCGGCAAAGCATGCGGCCGAGCCAGGACGGCGAAGTCGAAATCCCTGGGACCTGCCCATTTCTTTCGGGCAATCACGGGAGCTCGTTTCTGGCGCCGCGCGAATTGTCCGGCCTCTGGAAACAGAGTGCGCCAGTCATGAACCTCGCCCAAACCTTTGGCACGGCACTCCGCCTTTTCAGGACCCGCTCCAGGGTTCAGGCTGTTGCTTGCTTGTCTTTGTGAGCGCTAACAGGGCCCTGTTTCAAAGAAGTTAAGCGTGTCCATGCGCTTTTCGCCTCCATCAGGTCGTTGGGCAGCGTCCGAGTGAAGGCCAGCGTCCAAAGCAGATCGGTCAAGACCTGATTCGACACATTCGACGGGAAAACTGGAGCTCATGGAAAAAAAGGTGGAGCTCAGCGAATAAGCTCAGGATTATCACGTGCAAAATCTCTATATATATATACATATTATACATTTCCCCAAACATTCTTAGCCACGCCTGAACAAGGTTATCGGCTTATCCCAAACCCTTGGACGGCTTCGGCAAGCCCTTGCTTGGGGAATGTCCAAATTGCACTTTGATGTCTTGGGCAACGATTCTGCAACTCTGCGTTAATCAGTCAGATTGATCCTCCGCATTAGTACTTTGGTCAAGAGGAGGGCTGGCTTCCAAAACCGTTTTTACATTGGCCATGCAATTGTCAGCAAGAGTAACAAGAGTGAGGCACATTCAGGAATCCCTGCAATGATTCTCCAGGAAAATGCACTTTCTTGAAATGGCATAGGTTGGCTTAAACTATCTTAAACTAGGATGTCCACCAACTGGAAGCACCCACGCCTGCCCCGCTGCTTTGGTGGGCACAATCCCCAGATTGGAAACTCTCATGATCGCGTAGCAACATAACTGACCAATGCGGCAACACCAAAGGCTTGAAACGGGCTAGTCTTCATAACACCTACTTAAATCAGCTTAGATAAGCACAGTTAACCCTTGGCACAGTCCATCAGAGTAAACTTCAAGTCATTCTCTGCAAAGCTTCTGGATGCAATTTGTATTGGGAGCTTGCGAAACTCCATCACTTAAGCACAAAGCACCACATACACTTCGGGCCTGAATCGGAAGTCCTTCCATGGACTCTTGGGACAGCTTGTTCGACAGGAAGATCGTCAGGGGCGACACGTCCAGCTTGAGAACCTGTCAGCTGCTTCAATGATTCAACTGTGTGTCTGCGGCTCTATGGGGTCTGACATGGGTACGTTGGGAAACTTGCTTGGCTTTTCCTTGGCTTACTGGCAACTCCTGCAGGTCTGGCAGACTGTAGTGCAGCCGAGTTATCAAAGCACCAAGGAATCAAACGCCCATGAACCTGAACAACCGAACCAAGCAACAAGAGAGATGCAGGGGGCCTCTGCAAGGACCGTCCGCAAAAAGCGTGGCCGGAAGGGAGAGTTCACTGCATAGACAGTTGCATGAGAGACATGTTCGCTTTCCGGAGTGAACTGCTGCAAACAACTTGTCTCACTTCTTGAGTCTCGATTTATGTATCCATCCTCTACTCATCCACCTACCTTACCCATCCAGCTACCTTACCCCACCCACCCACCCACCCACCCACCCACCCACCCACCCACCCACCCACCCACCCACCCACCCACCCACCCACCCACCCACCCACCCACCCACCCACCCACCCACCCATGCACTCACCCAACCACTCACGCACGCACGCACGGACCCACGCACCCACGCACCCACGCACCCACGCACCCACCCACCCACCCACCCACCCACCCACCCACCCACCCACCCACCCACCCACCCACACGCACCCACACACCCACGCACCCACGCACCCACGCACCTCCGCACCTCCGCACACACGCACACACGCACCCACCCACCCACCCACCCACCCACACGCACCCACACACCCACGCACCCACGCACCCACGCACCTCCGCACCTCCGCACACACGCACACACGCACCCACGCACCCACGCACCCACCCACCCACCCACACGCACCCACGCACCCACGCACCGACGCACCCACGCACACACGCACCCACGCACCCACGCACCCACGCACCCACCCACCCACCCACACGCACCCACGCACCCACGCACCCACGCACCCACGCACACACGCACCCACGCACCCACGCCCCACGCACCGACCCACACCCACCCACCCACCACCCACCCCCCGCCCGCTCCCCGCCCGCCCGCCCGCCGCCCGCCCGCCCGCCGCGCGCCCGCGCGCCCGCCCGCCGCGCCCGCCCGCCGCCCGCCCACCAGCCCACCCGCTCTACCACCCACTGTGCAGCGTGCACCGAACACCTCTCGACCGCAAGCTGAGGTGCCGGACTCTCAGCTGTCTACGAAGGATGGTGGTAGAAAAGAGGTTGCTAATCGCCTCCTGGCTGAGATTTCCCACTGTTTCCGAAAGACAGCTCGCTTACCAACTTCAACATCATTTCTCCGAGATTTAAGATTGGGGAATTTTGTCTGACAACACCTGTGCGCAAAATAGGAGCACCCCACGTAAACCCGAAGTGTGTGCTCACGTTTCGACATAGAAGCTCCGCAATCTGCCAACCTCAAGCCCCATTGGTCAGAGGCTCCTCGGTCGTCAGCTGCGGTGCCGTCTTGGCCAAACGGAAGATCAGAACTGGCAGTAGCGCCTGCGCTATGCCATTTGCCATCGCTTCCGAACGGTTGACCCTGTTGTGACGAACTGTGCGTGAGGGTTAAGCACGGGTCTTTCGGCCGGCTTCAACTTCTGATTTAAAGAAGGCAACAAGTCGTTTTCAAAGTGATTCCGATAGCATCCAAGAGGAAAAAAAGCGGTGCCGCAAATTGGCGCTCCTTTGCAATATGCAAAACTATCGAGATGAGCGGGTTGGCTGATCCAACTGGGCCGTGCCTGCACCATCGGAGCCTCATTGCTTAGCCCCGCAACTGCCGCCAGGGCGTCGGTGGTTCCAGTCGCCTCTGTTGCAAGGCAGCAGCAAACTCAAAAGAAATGATGACAACACAAGACTTCTGTAGCATATGTTGCGTGTGTACACGGGTACGCGTGTGCCTGTGTACACGAACTTTTGCATGTGTGTGTGTGTGTGTTTTGTGTGTTTGCGTGTTTGCGTGTTTTTGTATTTGTGTGTTTGTGTGTTTGTGTGTTTGTGTGTTTGTGTGTTTGTGTGTTTTTGTATTTGTGTGTTTTTGTATTTGTTTGTGTGTGTGTGTGTGTGTGTTTGTGTGTTTGTTTGTGTGTTTGTTTGTGTGTTTGTTTGTGTGTTTGTTTGTGTGTTTGTTTGTGTGTTTGTTTGTGTGTTTGTTTGTGTGTTTGTTTGTGTGTTTGTTTGTGTGTGTTTGTGTGTTTGTGTGTGTGTGTGTGTGTGTGTGTGTGTGTGTGTGTGTGTGTGTGTGTGTGTGTGTGTGTGTGTGTGTGTGTGTGTGTGTGTGTGTGTGTGTGTGTGTGTGTGTGTGTGTTTGTGGGCGTGTTTGTGCCTGTGCCCGTGACCTGTCCCTGTGCGAATTGTTCATGCATCCAAACGGCTGGTGATGCTGGGAAAATGTGTTTGTGCAAAATGCGCGTTTGCATGTCGAACTTGCTTACCATTAAATTGGTCTTTTGAAGGCATTTTTCCCCAAGGTATAAAGTCATGGGACTCAGGGAGCGAGTGTATGGATATACGTATATATATATATATAATTTTTGTAATACCAATCAATCACCGGCACACGGAAATGCATAAACTCACAGGCGCACATCTAGATTATAACCGGGAGCTGAAAAGCAGTGAGTGCATGCAGCGACCCTGCGCTTGAATCTCCAAGGTGGAAGCACATCCGCCGCCTGCAAATCCGTTGCTCGCCCGAGAAGGCAGTCCGAGACGGTGCCAACATAGGACTGGCGGCTGGAAGCGCGCAGGGAAACAATGTGCCGTTTGCTTGCTTCGGTGTAGCGTTTGGTGAGTCAAAGCGCCTTGGTGAGCCAAGAGTTCTCTGAAGTCTGTGACAGGAATGCTCGCTTGCCACCTGTTGGGTTCGGCCTTGACTGCGGGAGCTTCATCCCAGTAGGTCGCAATGGCGCGCAGGGTGCTGCCCAAGTCCTCCAAATGAAACGGAGGTGCCCACCTACCTTCCTGACGAATAGCACGGCAAGAGGAGCCTCTAGAAGAAGCTTAAGCATAACACATGCTCTCCAACAAGGGTCCCCATGACGGCTTTCCAACATCCGCATCAAAACGCCTGACCACGCTCACCAGCCCCAAGTACCCGTCATGCGAAACGAGGCGCTTTAGCAGCTATGTCCAGATGATTAGAGCCTGCATTAATAATAGCTTAGTTGGAAAGTTGCACACATATGTACATAATATATATATATATATGTATTATTTAGGGGTGGCCGTTTAGGGTTGGCTTCAAGGAAAACCAGAAGGACATCAACCATTTTGAGAGGGGTTCCCCATTGTGACAACTACCCTCAAAGCTTCCGTTTCGCGGTCCTCGGCCTGCAAAGCCCCGCGCTGCGCCTGGCACGTTCTGCATATCGGGTGGGTCACTGAGTCCATGTGTGCCGCCCATTTCTGGCATGTTTTTGCATGCAGTACTGGTGCCAACGCCACGCAAGCATCAAACGTGTTTTTTACCTCGCGGAGAAAAACAATGGAGTCGAAGGTTTGCTGATGCTGGGGCAATCACTTGTGCTTCTCCATCGCTAGCTGGTCACTTTCTCAATGACCACCTTTCTGTTGCACAAACATGGGCTTTGTCAGGAACTCCTCGTAGTAGTACCTTTGGCTGTACTCTCTGCTCACGGGACTGAGGCTTTTGGCTGGAAGTGTTGCTGTTCAACATGTGCATGCATGTGCATGCAGGTTCCAGTGCTGCCCTACCAGTTTGCGCCCACTCCAAGAATTACCTCAACATTCCACTTCTCATCAATCAATTGCAATCTGCCGTCGCCCCAAGAACAGATTATATCGAAGGGCATCAGAAAGGTCTCCTGCGTTTCCTCGCTCAGCACAAGTTGTAATGGAAAAGATGCGCATGCAGCTTGGAGGGGATACACGCCCCAACAAGAGTGCAGCCTCACTTTGCTCAAGCGCGTTGCCTCTCCAAATTTACCTGCGCCTTGTGCGAGTAAGTCTTATGCATTTTGTCAAGTGCCAACACAGGGCAATGCCTTGCTGGAAGCTTCAGTAGCTGAAGCCTGAAGCACAGCAACAAAGCTTCAGTCACGCATTCAATGGCCCTGCCAAGTTCACTTGAAACTGAGGGCTTGGTGTGTCTGATTCTATACACCTTTTCCTGAAGCTGCCCTGACCAGCGTGTTAGACATCATGCTGGTGCGAGGTTGGCTCTCATCTCCCGGCCATATCATGTCCCAGACCCTTTGCCGCCACCTTACTTGTCCAAAGCTTTGGCTTGGACCCCTCTGTTGAATCTGGGCAATCTGCATTGGCAGTCCCAAACTTGAAAACATCAGGCCCTTTCTGACCGAACTTACAGCTTTCTGCCGAGGTGCTCATGGCAGTCCAGCTTGCCCTTCTTCCACGGAGGGTAGCCAATGGACTTTGGATTCGCCCAGGCACGCAGGCAATCGTAGAAGTCCACGAGGCAGGGCATGGCGAAATCAAAATCACAGCGGGCGAGGCAACAGCTGCGGGCTGGATTCTGGGAGTTGATCTGAATCTGGATCTTATCGACTCACAGGGATGAACCTCAACGCTTCAGGCAAGGGATCTGCACTGAAGGAAGAAGGAGCGTGCAATTGATATGCCACATGAGGGGTCAGGGTAGGGCCACTATTTGACTGGCAATGTTCTGGAACATGAGAAGCTGGGATTGAACACCCGGAAAGGGTGACACTTGCGGCATGTCCTGAAACTTTTCAAGCAACACCCACGAAACCCCGAGAAAACGCCTCACGACAGGCAAACTCCACCAGGCCCGGCACATTGCCCACGGAGAGTGCCTGGCAAGCCCAGGCGCCACGTGGAGATGGTTTCCAACACCCCCAAACCAGTACCTTCAAGAGAACATAGGGCGGACCACTATCTAGAACAATACTACGTCAATAATCACTGATGGACCAAATCTGGCACCAGGTAAGTGGTTTATCCCAGGATTCCTAGGGTTCCATCCCAACTGGTTCAGGATTTTGTCTACGCACAGTATGTACAGAGTCCAGAAGGCATTGTCCCTTGAAGGGAGAAGCTGTGAAATCCATTTTTGCTCGGACATTTCTGAAGCTGCTTTGAGGAAATTGTCGCCCTGGTTTGGCACCACAAGGTTTGTAAACGACTGTCAGATGTGACATAGTTTCTGCTTCAAAGCTAGCACCAAGTATGGCAGCGTGACTGCATTCCCCAACCTTCAAGTATCAGCAGGAAAGAGTTTGGCCGTTTGGCGAACCGCACCCCCGTTTCAGTTCGGCGCAAAATGGTCAGTGCTCGGGGCTGTCCATGGATCGGGACTGGGAATCAAAATGTGAGGATATTTGACCAGCATCACATACCCATATGGGGGGGTATCCTTTTTGGGGCTTGTTTAAAGGCAAGCCAGCAGGATTCGGTCTCCCCGACCTTGGAATCAGTGGTCCTCGCCAGGGAGAGGTAGTGGAGCTTTGTGCCCACCTGAAGGCAGCTGGAGGTCAGCTGTCGTTGGGATGGCCCAAGGTTCACTGGGTGACCATGTTAACTACTTGGTTGCCGTTGACCCTCTGAAGTGTCTGACTTCTTGTGGGTTCCGAGGAAAACAACATGTCACACAATATTTCCCAACAAGTTAGTCCAAAGATCCGCCAGCCAATACTGTGAATAGACCAAATCCTGCATCACGGAATGAAACCAGGGTTAAAACCATAACATTTCTTGGCCCTCCCTGGGGAAACGAATCAAAATGAATCAAACAATTCCATCGAGGCCTCGGAGCTGTCCAGCAGCTCAGTTCCCACCTGCTCCTAAGGCGGCCAGTGAGGTTAGCTGACTGGCCCAAAAATGGCGGGTTCCCTTTGATTTTCTCTTAGTAAAACCGGCCGTCAACCTGGGTAACACACCCCCCGTTCAGCACCCAGCATCTCTTTGAATCCGCTGATTGCAAACTGCCAAAGCCAGGTTTTGCCCAACCAGGTGCGCCGAAGACGTGTCTTAAGAATGTTCAAAATACAACAAACTCGCGCTGCTCTTTCAGCGTGCAGATGCGATTGCACCACAGGCGGTACTTGGCCGCCTGAATTTGGTTGCAGAGAGTTCAAACGCACGTGGACTCTGCAAAGGAGAGTTCAGCTTCCAAGAATTCTTGCCAAGGGCGCCAAGACCATATTGAAAGGGTCAGGTAGCCAAAAGGCTGACCAACGTTGCAATATTGCTTGAAGGCTTGCAATGCAAACATATTATATCATCTTATGTGCGAATTATTTGCTGTGATTTGCCAATCCTATTGTCTGCCAACATGCAAGGTGAAGACTCTAGTTCTTCAAGAACATCGCTTCACAGTGTGCATGGTCAGGGCCAACACAAAACAATGCTGTGCAAATGTGCCGTGGCTCTGTATAGGCTCAAACCGGAGTCATGCGGACCATTGAACGCGTACCTCATGCAAGCTCAGGCGAGCTGCCCCTACTTGTGCTGTTCTTCTTAGTTGGTGGCAGCGTGCCGCGCTTCTCATGAGCCGTGTTTCTGCCTTGAACGGTGATGCGGATTCTTGCTGCCATCAATGGCGTCAATGGCTCTGCACAACCATGCAGAGCCTCGTGCAACTCCCAAAATGGAAATCAGGGATGGTAGAGGCCCTTCACACCCGCAAGATCCCACAAGTCAGATCATTCTTTACTTTGGGCTGAAGGCAATCTCAGTGCCAAAAAAGTTCTCTGGAGGTTTCGTTCCGGAAGCATACAGTACCAGAAGAACGCCTGACACCCAGCATCCACGCCTCTTCGCCCTGTGGCTCTAATAGTCGACCTGCTATGGCGGTTGAACTGCCAGCCAAGGAACTGCAATCAAGACTTGTGCAGTACCTGTCTTGGGAAGCAAATGACAGAAAAGCAAATTGAAATAGGAGATGAGGCTTATACTGTAGCGAGTTCTGCTGAGCAAGGAACACCCCAAGCGTGTCCCTCTTTGACGCGGCAATAGCCCAGCTACGAACACCCAACTTGGAGTTCATGACATCCACTTGACATAGTCGTCTCACCACAGGTTCAATTCAAGGAAGCCTATTTGCTTTTTGATACGATTAGTACGCCGGGTTTACGATATGTTTACACCGTTTTGCTTCTAGTTACCATCTTGGGGGGCTCTCGGAACATCAAAAATGGTGAGTCCCCGGGGGGTCGTTCAACATCGTAAAACAATCGTACATAGATTGTGTTTCTCTTATTTCTTCTTCCTGTAAACGTAAATTCATCCAACATCGTAAATAACAAAGTGAATTGCACCGTTGGTTGGCATATCATTCAATGATTTGTTTACGATTTCCGGCAACCCCTGCCTTCAGGTGGAAGAAGCTTGTGGTTTTCGGAGCAGGGGGGCTTACCGTGAATCGCACAAAACAACGTACTGAAACCATCAAACAAACACATCAAGAAAACACCAGTTCGGCTGACAGCGTAGGCCGCAAACATAGTCGACAAATGTCAACTGCCAGTCAATGAGGCTCTCGCAGCGAGACGTGTCGTCTCGAAACTCTGGGCTATCTCGTGGTTCGATCTTTCTGCAAGCTTCATTCCAGCATCAAGGATCTAAGCACCCCATGGTTCACTCATGTCTATTCAACAGCTTTCCTCCCCGCCTTCCATCTGGAACGCCGGCGGCTTTGGCGGGTGCGGGCCCCTGAGTGGAGCGCCTGGCAGGCCAAGCATGGATTCTCTCGCAGCCCAGTCTCAGGCACTAAGTGTATACCCAGCTGGGCTGCCCTCAGATCCCCCGCTAAAAGTTTGACTTTTGGTGGGTTAAATGGAAACTGCCACTAAAAGCAAAGCAGCCAAAGAGCTAAGGGGATGGCTGGGAGCCACCAAGCCTTATGGCGCTTGTACACAGTTTGCGTTTGCATCTTTACCCCGTAGCGTCGTCTTGGCGGTCAACGGCCAAGCGCTGGGCATGCTTTCACATCTTATGGTTGTGCCACGGGAAAGCATGAAAGGTGCTGCATATGTTATATATGCAAATAGTTGCACATGCAGGCGTGGGCTACGGTGCTTCGTGTCGGTAATGGCCATTCAAGAGTGTTTGCATGCTTTTGTTGGTTTGTTTGCTTGTGCGCTTTCTTGCTTGTGTCAGTTTTTTGGAGGGGGGTTATGACTGTCGTTGCGCCAAGTTTCAAGTGCTAGGCCTGCATGCGCAATACCAGCTTTTGAAGTGCTCAACAGACCCGCCACTTTGCGCTCCGCTTCTCCCTGCCTCCCTCAGGAGCTACAAGTCGCTTCTCCTGGCCAATTGCAGCAAAAGCTCTCTGCAATGCTCAAAAACGACACGAGAACTAATCTACTCCAACCAATTCAACCAATTAATGAATCTTTTCGATTCTTGCAGGGGCGCCCTGCAAGGAGCCGGCCGGAATCAGGATTCCTGTTGCCCCTCGCCTCGTACCAGCCCTGAACGGGCCGGAGCTTGGGTGCGGCCATCCAGCCGAAGCAAAGCGACCTGCAAAGACCAGGATCCGCTGGGTTCTAACCAGCCGACTCCTTGCGTGAATGTCCTTCGAATAGCACGCAGTCAGTACAAAACGAGTAAAACAAACAAACAAACAACCAACTCTGTGGTCGGGTGCTTTCAAGCCTATGATGCGCCGCTCCGCGCACGAAAGCCGCACAGGGAAGCTGTTAAGGAAGGGAGAAACTCTGGCGCCTTCCCCGCAAAAAATTGGATCTCAGTCCCCTGTCCGTTCTCATTTCAATCTGTGGGTAGCATTGACTTCAATTCGTCGAGCGACTCGACGGCTGCCACGCCAAGCGCGACAACAGCCATGCTCCTGACAATGACATCGCGCTGGATGGGGAACGTTGGGCTTGTGTTTTGAGGGTGCCTGTTTCAGGTTGGTTTTAAGGCAAGCCGATTTGCCAAAAGAAAATACAACACACACCCATTTCTAAAGATTGCGCGGCATCATCAGCCAAATCAGCCAATTGAAACAACCGCTTCAAGATCTGCAAACAAAGTAAGAAACTGCACAGCAAGTACACAAACCAAACACACACACACAGACACAGACACAGACACAAACACAGACACAAACACACACACACACACAAACAAATACAAAAACACACAAATACAAAAACACACAAATACAAAAACACACAAATACAAAAACACACAAATACAAAAACACGCAAATACAAAAACATGCAAATACAAACACACACACACACACACCCACACACACACACACCCACACCCACACCCACACCCACACCCACACACACACACACACACCACACACACACACACAGGCACCCACCCACCCACCCAAACTCACCTTCGCACGCCCACACACCCGCACGCCCACACTCACACACTCACACACTCACAGGCACACAAAACTCATAAAACAGGTCATCATTTCTGCCAGGGGTCAAGCCAAACCATGGGTGTTTCTCAAAAAGGCACCCGTAAAGTTGGTTGGTTTGGATTTCCCTTTGAAATAGTGAAAAGGGCATCCTCTATTTTGAGAACTCCCTCCATTTGCCATTCACTTTGATAGGCGGTTGGCCTGTGGCCTTGCAAAACGCCGCCCTCCTTGGCAGCCTGCGTTGTTTGACCTGGCGTCTGCCCCCCGCCACCCCTACACCAAAGGCAGGAAAAGGCAGTACAACATGCGCTCAGTGGCCATGACCGGATGTATGCGTGTACGCTCGTATGTGGAGTGGACTCACATTTTCAGACATCCGGCACTTACTCACCAGCGCAGCTCTGACTAGAAAAGAGCATGATGCCGGAGCGGTCCACAGCGCCAGGCTGTTGTACTTCAGTACAGGAGGGAAGGGAGGCAGTTTGCCCGCAAACATTCAGCTGCTCCCCCGCAAACTAAACATGAAACCCGAAAAGTGGCTTCCCTAAACGGGCAATCATCTAACCATTGCGTGTTGCTAATGATTCCTGATTTGCAGGAGATCCATCGCAAGTCTGCTGATGTGCGGCTGTAATTTGCCTTACTGCCCTCCCAACCCCCGGAGAGCAGCCACATTCTCACACTTAAAACCACCGCTGCCATGGGTGATGCGAACTGCCAACAGGCCTAAACGCCACTAGGGCTTTGCCCCAACGGGCATTCAAGGTGGCAACAACTTTTCTGTGCCTCCAACTGCGCGGCCCTAGGCACCTTGCACAGGTTCTTTCCCGATGCACGCCCCATGCCGCATGTCAGGAAGTGTTCGCCCCTACGTCAAAGTCGACTTGTCCTGTGCCGGCCGCACATGAACTGGCTGCATGGCGCCTCAGCCCTGTCAAAGGGATTGTTGACATCCGCCACAGGGCCAGTTCTGCATGCTCCCCTTAGCACAAAGAAATGCAGGATCCTGTCCCTTTCCTGGAGGCCCTTCTGACTCGCCCAAACTTTGACAAAAGATGGTGCTCTCTGCGAACGCTACCAGCTGTTGCTGCATCCATGCAAACTGCGTGTCACTCGCGTGCTATTGCGCAAAATGCTCCTCATCTGAGGTGGACTCGTTCTCTAGGCGACTCATGTTCTTCATCTCTGTCTCCGTCTCAGAGTCCGAAGAGGGTTCCTCCTGGCAGCAGAAGCGGCTCCAGCCCTCCGCAAACCATCTCCCTAGCAGCACGCAGCACCTGGATATTCATGTAGTGGCTCAGGAAGCGGCTCAGCGGAGATCCCTGAGATGAGCTCACCAACCTGCGGGAGATCTAGCCCCAGAGCCGACCCTTGTGAGCCTTTCTTCCCCTTTTGACGGCAAACACTTGGTCTCGCATTTCGACCGCCGTTCAACTTGTTTTTCACAGAGAGCCGGTCGCAACAGGCGCTTTTTGCTTATTAAATGATGCCCAGGCACCCCTCAATCTTGTCCTTTTGGCTCACGTTGGGAATGAGCTGGAAGACCCTTGGCACAGATCTTTTCGTCAGTGACTTCGTGACTTGAGCATCATGCTATGTCCCTGTGCCGATGCTCCGAGAAGATCGAAATCTGCTGCCGAGAATCAGTGCCACAGGCACCAACGGTGCCACAGCCGCGATCTTGGAGAGCGCATTTAGGAAGTTGGGGTTTTGGATGGCTCTACTTTGCGATTGACATGAAAGTGACATGGTCTTCCACTTCTGTCATGTTCCTGTTCATGATTGTTGAACCTGTCCAAGGAGTTGGATAGTCGGCAGCATTGGAAGGCTGCAGGTTCAACAAGGGAATAGCCCTTGGCTGGTGGCCGCAAACTTTCACTTGTTGCATGCCAACTCTTATGAACTTTCTGGGGGAAAGACCGAGGTTGACAAAAACAAGTGGTGTTGAACTGGAGACGGGCCTCTGACCCTCGCGCTCCAATGCTATCAACGGGCCCAAAACAGGTCACATCACTTCCAGAATTGAAGGGTTTTATTCAAGTGATTTTCGCTGTGTGATTTTGCAAGCAACGCGCTGTAGTAGCCTTCCGCCCTCTTGCGATGCAGATTGAAGCTAAGCTGGCTTGAAGTTGCACTGCCAGACCCGGCCACAGCCTCCGGGCGTCACTCGGTTCGAGCCTGCCTATCATTTGCACACAAATGCGTCCAGCTGGGCAATCGTTGAATGAGCTTCAAGCAAAATGCCTGGATGCTGCCGATGTAGAGCTCAAGCTCCAAGTGCGCGACACTTTTGAAGGTTCAATTTTGCACTGCGCGTGTTTTTGCGACTCGCGATGTTCTTGCCCCCCCCCCCCCCGCCCTTCCCAGGAACCACCATCCGTGAATCCGTTGCGTCGCCCTCTTGAGGCGCCTCTGCCTAAAATCCGCTGCCTGCCTGCGGACCTGTGCCCAGGCGCCGCAGCTGCCACCCACAAGTTCTGGAACTCCTCCTCGTCGCCCACCTGGCCCGTGGGCTTCACACCTCGGGCCACTGTGACACACGCGGGACAGAACGAATTTGTGCGCCTGACGAGTAAAGGCCCCCGAAACAAAGACTCGAGAAAGGAAGGTTTTGCTTAACTTGTAAAGCTTGTTGAAGCCACGTTGTTAATCACCGACGGCTTCTTTTTCACCTTTGTAGCACGCTTTTTGCACCTTTTCGCCCTTCATTCTTTCTGACCTTGTGTCCGACCCTTTCTTCACCGTAAGCTTCGCTTTTTGAACCAACCCCTAGTACAGGGTTGGTGGCTTAGGGTTAGGGTATGTGTAGGATTGTCTTAGGGCCGGTTTGGGGTTGGTCTAGGGTGGGTTTCTGGTTGGCTCCGGGTTGATTTAGGGTGGCTTTAGGGTTAGCTTAGGGTTGGTTTTGGGTCGGCTTGGGGTTGGGTAGGGTGGCTTAGGGTCGGTTCAGGCTTGCTTAGTTTGGGGTTGCTTCACACTGTGCTAATACCAGACGAAAGGTCTTAATACAAAAAGAAGGCCAAGCCGAAAAAAGAAGCCCGTGGAAGCTATAAGCCGCCAAACCCGCGACATCGCTTGACAAGTTGTGTGACAAAAAAACTAGAGGACGATTGGCCCGAAAGCATTTTTCCACAGGCGCTCATCCAGCCGCGGAGACACCTTTTTACATCGCTGCGGCGAGCGTGTCTGCGCGCGGCGATGCTCAGTGTGTATGGTCACATGAGAGCTCCATCTCATCATCCTACTTTCCTCTCGAACTGCGCCGCGCGATTTCTCACGAAAGTGGTCTGCGCAAGCTGCATTGTTCCAGGCTGCTGCGCGCAAGTTGCTCTCTGCAAGCTGCTGCACGCTGCTGCACGCAAGTGCTCTGTGCAAGTTGCTCTGCGCAAGTGCTCTGAGCAAGTTGCTCTGCGCAAGTGCTCTGCGCCAGTTGCTCCGCGCAAGCGCTTTGCGCATGTGCTCTGTGCAAGTTGGTCTGTGCAAGTTGCTCTGCGCCAGTTGCTCCGTGCAAGCGCTTTGCGCATGTGCTCTGTGCAAGTTGCTCTGCGCAAGTGCTCTGAGCAAGTTGCTCTGCGCAAGTGCTCTGCGCCAGTTGCTCCGTGCAAGCGCTTTGCGCATGTGCTCTGTGCAAGTTGGTCTGTGCAAGTTGCTCTGCGCAAGTGCTTTGTGCAATTGCTCTGTGCAAGTTGCTCTGCGCAAGTTGCTCTGCGCAAGTGACTCTGCGCAAGTTGCTCTGCGCAAGTGCTGCCGGAGCTGTGGGAATGTACTTCGCATACTATTTTTGTACTTAAAAGTTGCGATTTTCCAGCCGGAGCTGCGGGGGTGTGCTCCGCGTACTACGTTTGTACTTAAAAGTTGCGCGGGAGCACGCTCCGCATACTACGTCTGTACTTAAAAGTTGCGATTTTCCAGCCGGAGCTGCAGGAGTACGGTCCGCGTACTACGTTGCGATTTTCAAGCCGGAGCTGCGGGGGTGTGCTCCGCGTACTACGTTTGCACCTAAAAGTTGCGATTTTCCAGCCTGAGCTGCGGGAGCATGCTCCGCACACTACGTCTGTACTTAAAAGTTACGATTTTCCAGCCGGAGCTGCAGGAGCACGCTCCGCGTACTACGTTTGTACTTAAAGGCTGCGATTTTCAAGCCGGAGCTGCCGCGGACCAGGGGGGAATCGAACCCGCGACCGCGGGATTGCGAAAGCAGGCGCGCAAACCACGAGACAACTTCCAAAGGCCGTTTCGCGAGCAAGAATATTGCACGGCGCCACAGCGAGAGCACTTCGACACGCACAATCTCCGCAGAGGGTTCGCCGAGACTAAAACAAATCCGCACAGCGCCACAGCGAGAGCGCTTCGACGCGCACGATCTCCGCAGAGGGTCGCGCGCGCGCCGCAGAAATCGTAAAAAGTCCTCAGTTTTTGGACCTCGACCACGCGAATCTCCGCAGAGGGTCGCGCGCGGCCAGCAGAAATCGTAAAAAGTCCTCAGTTTTTGAACCTCGACCACGCGAATCTCCGCAGAGGGTCGCGCGCGGCCAGCAGAAATCGTAAAAAGTCCTCAGTTTTTGAACCTCGACCACGCGAATCTCCGCAGAGGGTCGCAATCCCGAGCGACGATCAAACTCCCGCCCCGGCGCCTTAGAAACCTAAACTAACTTACATAGCTGCTAACGCCGAAGCTCTAAGCTCTACCTAACCTTGGCTCTATGTAACTTGGCTCTATGTAACTTGGCTCTATGTAACTTGGCTCTATGTAACTTGGCTCTATGTAACTTGGCTCTATGTAACTTGGCTCTATGTAACTTGGCTCTAT